CTTTCTGGTATTTGGACAAATCTGTGGCCCAGCGGTTGAGAATCTCATCCATAGTCCTGTTCTTCAGGCGCGCCATAGCTGAAGTCGGGCCACTTGTTGATGCGCCCAAGCCAGTGGTCTGAGATGTCGCAGGTTTTGAAGCCATCGGTTCGGTAGACGACGTGGCCTTGGTGACATTACCCAAGAGCGAACCTGTTGCGGGCGCCGTAGCTGGAGCCGAAGCCGTAGTGACGTTAGGGGCTGAGACACCAGAAGTAGCAAGGGCGCTAGTGCTAGGGGCCGTAGTCGTGATGGTGGACGGCGCCGCAGTCGATAGTGGTGTTGTGCTCAGCAAATTGGAGGGTTTCGCAGCTTCAGAAGTGGCACTACCGGCGGGCTTGCCAAATAATGAGGGCTTCGGAGGCTCGGTTGCGCTAGTTGTGGCTTTGTTTACATTTCCAAAAAGCGAATTGCTTGGCGTCGCCGAGGGGGCTGGCGCTGAAGTACTGGGGGTTGCAGCTGCACTAGCAGAGTTAAGGAATGGGGAGCTTCCTGTAGCAGTCGAGGTAGCAGCATTTCCAAACAAAGAAGCCGGTTTGGTTGAAGGAGCAGTATCAGCAGGCTTAGACGGCGCCTGCGTCCCAAAAAGCGATGGGCCGCCTGCACCACTCATGGTGCCTGTGTTTGCACCGAGCGTAGATGAAGGCTCAGCAGGCTTTGTAGCACCAAAAAGAGATGTGCCTGCTTTCGTAGGTTGGTTAGTACTAGGAAATAGCGTAGCAGCCGGTTGGGTTGTCGCGGGTTTTGGTTGTGAGCCAGGCTGACTGGGAAACAAGCTGGTCGGTTTGCTCTCTCCTTTATCGCCTTGCTGCGTAGGCGGGAACAGGGATGAACCGCTCTGAGTGCCAGTGTTGCCAAAAAGGCTTGCCCCGCTAGATGGCTTAGAAGTGTTTGACGGAGGCGCGCCAGCCGGGGTTGTCGAATTGAGAGTAAACATGGGCCTTGCCGGTGTTACCTGATTAGTTGACGTGGTGTTAGGGGTTGTGCTACCAAAGAGAGAACTCCCGGTAGTCGCGCCGCCTGCTCCGAAGATTCCACCCGGTTTGACGGCAGAAGTTCCTGGATTAGCCGCAGTATTCGCTGATGCGAAGAGTCCGCCAGCAGGGGCCGTCGTGGTCGGTGTTGTGCTTGTCGCGGCGATATTCGGGGTTGAAGATGAGTTGCCAAACAGACCGGTCCCCGTTCCTGTTGACGTTGCTGCCGGTGTGCTTCCAAACAAACTATTGCTCGGAGGTGTCTGCGATGAGGCTCCGAAAAGACTACCACCAGCACCTCCAGTTATAGATGGTGTAGATGAGCCGGGGGTAGCGGTGCTAGTTGCTCCGAAGAGTGACTTCTGTTCGCCGGGTTTCGAACCCACGTTTGCAAACAAACTACCACTTGGAGTGCCCGAGGAAGCAGTCGTGCTACTATTGCCTCCACTAGCTGCATTTCCAAAGGAAAAACTAGGAGTAGGTTTCGATTGGCCACCGAAAAGACTACCTGACGAAGTTGTGGGTGTTGTCGACGACCCGAACAATCCACCACCACTGGGTGCACTCGAGGTGGTTGCATTGTTGTTTGGTTGCCCCGAAGAGCTGGCGGCGACAAAACTAAAGGGCGACGACATGACGAGATCTTAGAGTGCAGTTTTCTAGGGCGCAGAGGCGATTGTGTCGGATGTGTCGAGGTGGAATGTTAAAATTTAATCAGCGGCCCGTTAGAAAGATGTACTCATCCCCGAGTCGATACGTGAGTAGGAGAGAATCGAATCAACAGGTTTGGACTGGGTTGCCGGGGATGGATGAATGGGCTCTTCGTAAATGGAGGGAGGCAAACACATAAAACCTGAATGTCCGCAGCCGCGAACCATGAGGTGTATAGGTTGGTCGAAATGGAAGAAGATACTCTCTGTTGGCCCAACACCGCCGTCACCTTGGCAATCTAGAAAATATCTATTCACGGTCAACCAACTTTTTGCGCGACAAGCTCGTCAGTAAGATAACTGGTTACCTAGGTAGGCCGCGCGCAATCTCCAAGTTGTGTCAGGCGGCTGGGATAGAGATAACAGGTGGCCGGCAACTGAATCAATGCCCGGAGCTTGGGCCATATATCTTGTGGGGGAGCATTTGTAGAAGTACATCTACCTGAGGTAGGTACCTAAGTAGCCATACATACATGTATACATACATGTGTACATACATAGTAGGTTGTACGCAAATTGTTAGGTACCTGGGGTATGTAGGCAAAGTAGACTACACATAGATTACAACATCTAAATCTACACAGCAAGGTACATATACCTATGGCTCAATATCAACCTAAGCTTTTCCATTATAGGTCAACTAATTGACCCGGGGCGGTCTAGATTGCGCACCTACCCTTAGTCCACCCTCCCACTCTATTACCTCTGCCTCTACCTGTAACGTTAACCAAGCCATGCTTCTCTCATCCGCTGTACCGACTGAAAGTGCATCAGCTTCAATCATCCAACGGCGTTGAAATATCTCCGATCCTGTCACCACAATCCCGATCCTGAACATCCTGAACCGGCTTGAACGACTACCTATTAGCCTCAAGGGGGGTAGAGTAATTAGAATCTTATTCAATTAGGCGTCTCTAGACTATCTGGAAGCCTTAATTAACCCCAAACCAACCCTTGACATTGTCCCCTCTCTTTCAAAAGTGCTCTATCTGAATTTATTCGGTTACCTCAACACTGCATTATCCGCCTCCCTGAGGTCAACCAAGCCGCTACAGTGCTCTACCCCTCAACCACCTTGTGGTACCATTATTGAGCATTCGAACCCCACGCTGTTCTACGTCCCGGGCACTCATTGATTCCTCATCACGGGTGTGCAATATTGGGCTTGAAAACTGGTCGCCCCATCTCCCGACATGTCCGGAGAGCGCAGGTCTTCCTCCAGTCTCGAAGCGCCTGAGAGAACGGGGACTGAAGACCCTGGTGCGCACGAATTGGGTAAGCCCATTTCCCTCATCCGACATCTCCCCTCACGACCTAACTCACATTGATATAGAAGCTTCTGATTCAGATGAGCACTATTCCGATGCTCAGTCCTCCCCTAAGAGTAGTGCTCGGGCCGTTTCTCCTATACCTAGAACCCGAGTCGAGAAAGTAGATGACGAGCCCTCCTACGGGGAAGTCCCTGGTACTGCGGCCTATGACATGAGGACAGAGGATGCCTCACCGGACGAAATAGCCATTGTACAAGACGGCGAACAATCTCCGCCTACAGCATCCAGCCAGACTGTCGCACCCGGAGATGCCGTCATTCCCAAAACCATAGTTGACGAAACAGACGACGTCCCTGGATCCACGACTCATAGTCACCACGATCATTCACATCAAGCAGACGCCACGCCAGACGTTATTCGGAAGCCTGATGGCACAGGCGAGGCCATTCCTGTTCCTGCTTCAGTAGACGTCAACTCACAAGACACCGGTACGGCAACCATATCCTCTTAAAATCCACACTGCGATTGACCGTGCCTTCGTAGATGATACGGCCGTGAACCAAGCATTGAAGTTCCCCTCAACACATGGACGGAGGAAATCTTCAGCGGCCAGGTCAATCATGAGTCTTCGCGACGAGGAGACGAATGACGATGATGACGACTTTGGTGACGACTTTGACGATTTCGAAGAGGGCGGTGAAGATGCAGATTTCGGCGATTTTGATGATGGCTTTCAACAGGCCGGTGCGCCTGTAACCACCCAGTCGCTGATGAGCCAGCCACAAGTCTCTATACCTTCTTTTGTGTGTCTAGTATCCTCCTTAGGTAGCCTTACCACAACTATGCTGACTTTTATGTGCTCAAAGCCAATATTAGACCTTGACGGCCTAGATTCTCAAGACATCTTGGCCGCCTCCAACCCTTACTTAGATGCATTATACCCACCTGATGTACTCGAGATCCCCCCTTTGCCCTTACCTCCGAATGACAACCCCATATTCTTTAACCCGAGGAGCGCATCGTTATGGTCACAGTTAGCTGCACCACCGCCTCTTCAACCCCCCGATTGGATTCGTTCCCGCATCAGAAGACTTTTCCTGGTATCTCTAGGAGTACCCGTAGACCTAGACGAGATTCTACCTGCATCTAAACAGAAAAAATTAGTTCTCCCATCTCTTCACCGGATCACGTCAAACGGCTCGCTTCGGACTTCTTCAGACTCTCGCTCTGTGTCTCGACTACGGAAATCGGACGCCAATGGATCGTCTATCTCGGTCGACTCCCAGGGTATGGAGAAACCCAGATCTAGCTCGAAAAAGCGGAAAGCTCCTCACCATATCCCAGAGTTTGATTTGGTTACGGCAAAGCAATTATGTGCCACGACAGAAGAAGCGCTGAGAGGAATGACCGACGTTGAACTTCAACAGCATGTGAGGAAACTAGAGGAAATGGAGATCATGGCTAACGAGGTGCACGAATACTGGAAGAGGCGCACAGACGAAAGAATTGGCGACAGAGAGGCGTTCGAGGGTGTCATAGAAAACCTGGTGAAGCATGCGCGAAAGACGAGAAAATAACGAAGGATACCCTAAAATGAATTTAATTCTAATAATAGCCTAATACCCATATACGAATATTCTGTGTATTTAAATCTTCACGGCATTAAGATGCTTATGTTTTTGTTGCCCTCTCTAGCAAATCATCACAGTCATCTGAAAGTTATGAAGTAGACCTTATTTAGTTCACAAGCACCTCGGGGTCTAACATCACCAACTCGCTAACCCATCGTTTGGTGGTAAGCAAGTAAATGTGATGAAGAAACAAATGGCTGTAGCGCTGTAGTGTCTACACAATCAGTTTTTTTGTTTCTTGGGGGTTTTTTTTTTCGTGTTTTTTATTAAGAAAAAAATTATAACGATAATAATAATAATAATAATAATAATAATAATAATAAATAATTTTCAACGATAATTAATACATGCACTCGCACAAGCAGAGTAAAAAGTTGACCTCGCTGGGGGTCGAACCCAGAATCTCCTGATAACCATGGATAACTCTATATGGACTGAAGAGTCGGTACAGGTCTTTTTCGTAGTCAGACGCCTTGCCATTGGGCCACGAGGCCGATTGTTCATGTGAATTTCGCACCCCAATTGTGGTGGATGTACCTAGATCTACCCGAGCTCGGCAATTTAGCGTAATCAAGCTCAGGCTTGCGCAGAGTCGACCGAATCCGGGCACAGAGCCATCGCTCAACACGAATATACAAAGGGATTACAACCAACTCTTTTTGATAGAATAGGAAATTAGCGACGTAGCTAAGACAGGGCGGCCGTTGCCTACGTATGGAAGTTATGTATTTCTAAGCTTTATTTTTACGACCATATACGGGAAAATTACATGTCCGCAAGTCACATAGTATATTCAGTGTTCATCATCTACATGAGATCGCCAAGACAGATATTGGCGATATCTCCACCTTGTGAATATTCGCAAGTATTCCATATGAATTTCGCAAGAGCAGTTTATACAATATAATAACTAGCTCATGCCCTACCATTAATTATGTGATGACTTGACAATGCCATCTAGCACATATCAACGATCACTAGTAGGTCACCATCCACAGGTCGTGCTATAAGATAATGGACTCGAACCAAGTGACTAACCTGCGGCTCCCTGAGTAAATGAAGGGGCTCCAAGTATCTTGATAGCAGTAAGTTTGATATATCCGCATTGGAGGATCTCGTTGAACTTGCTGATATGTTATTCAAGTGCTGCCGAAAATCTATTGATTACGCAAACATCTAGCTACACACGTGGAGCATATTCCCTATGGGCCGCATTATTCTTTCATTCGAATTGCCCATCCTGCTTTTCTTTGTCGTGATGGTTTGCTGAATGAGAACTGAAAGCACGACATAGCTGGGTTCATGGGAAGTAGTATCTTAATCGCGACTTATATCCGAGAGGACATGGTTTCAAGATAAACCTAACAGTTCCACGCTTTGAGTGCTAACTATTATCTCATGTTCTTGTTGGTAGTTTGCGCTCGAATCTAGCCACCGCGTAAGCCTTGTACGAGCAACACTCTAGACATTAATAGAAGTAAAGTAAGAAACTGTGTTAATTGCCGTAGCACCAGCTACGATTTTGTTGGCTTAGAGTTAGTTTACACTCCATCTAATGGAGTAGAATGATCGCAGATGCCATTCCCGGGTTGCTAATCATAGCTCGATGTCATCAATGCATATTTCACCATCGTTGCTCACAGTTCAGTCTAGAGAAGGAAGAGCGAAATGTCATAAGGGTTACCCCGTATCGCCCATCGCCCTACGTCAGAGGTTTCGAAATATTCTAGAGCGTTTTGTCTAGATGAAAGAAGCCGTCCAGCTCTTCGATGCCGTCAGCAGGGGCCCGGGTAATAGTATGGTGTAATTCTCTATACCCTCCACCACGAACATCATGAGACCAGTGAGACTAGGGTGACCACGTTCATGGACAACTGCCCAGGCATGCGTTCGCAAGAGGTTAAATTTATTTTCAGCCTTGCGCTATTCCGCTCAAGCGGGCCACCGTCATCTCTCGGTAGAGAGACAGAGAGCTACTGTAGATGATCGAGATGGCGACACCGGGGATTACTGCCTCAATAAATGGTAGTGTAATACAATATTACGACGTAACAATTACAAGTCTACTATACTATTGGTTGCCGTGCTAGGTGTAGTCCAAAAATAACCTCATGGTGTATAGAGGCACATACTATGTATATGCCTTAGTAGGCATTGGGTAACTTGGGTTCAGCGTGGTCATCTTGGACCCCAAGGCGGCGCGTGTACGACTTGGGACATGCCAAGATGAAACAATGAAAATGGTGGCCGTATTGCCGGAAGTGTCTACTCTACTACCTGAGTGGGTGGGACATGCCCAGAACGCCGGTCAAGCAACTTACGCATGCGGATGCGGCCGACGATGAGGCGATGAGACGATAAGTGACGGCCGCATCAAGCCTGTCCTAGCGCACACTTTATATTTGCTCGAGGGCTTCTTCTTCTACAGCGTGTGCATCGTGGAAGAGTAAGAAGACAAAAGCCTCCGTTATTAGCTTTTCTATAAACAGCATACAAGAAAAGAAGCTGGAAACCACTCGAATTGAGTGAGCAGCATGTTTGCGGGATTTTGAATGCAATGACAGAAATAAGCCAAAAGAGAGGCTGGAACTTGCCATTCGCTTGTCTTCTCTGGGTAGGGTACTGCTGTCTGGGCTCCTATAGTATACGGTACCATCACACCGTCCCCTATACCACAACCACTTTACCGCCCAGGTTCAAGTTGATGAATGCGAGTAGTTGAGTGACATCACGTCTTGTTGCTCTGTGATTGGCGGATGCTTGAGCACTCGCATGCAGCACACGGACAGTCTCTACCTATGAAATGCGAAGATCGTCCACAGGGGTCTCTTAGCGTCTCCCTCGAAGCGCTCTGTTCTGGCGCCGGCTCCTCCCTTGTAGACTACTTGTCCAACCAGCGCCGTTTCTCCAACTCTCCGCTCGATGCCGAGAGTGATCCCTGCAAAGCACCCCTGTCCACTTCGAGCCATTCACCTCTCGTTGTCAGCCGTTGCCCGCAACTTCATATCAAGATAATTGCGACTGGCTGGACTGTTGGTTGATTGCGACGACTAGGGGGAGGGCGGTAACGCCAGCCCAATGTGTCCTCCCGTCCATGTGCATCTGTGCCTTCGGGTAATAGCGACATTTGTCCTGTAGGGTAACGATGGCTAAGTGTGGTGTGCCTCGAACGTTGGCTGGACTTAAGAGCATTCCGCCGCTACCTATCACGTTTGGTTTCCTCTCTGATTCCGGTAGCATCAGCCCCCATCTCCCTCACGAAATATACCCTACTGAGCCGCCTCTCCACCTCCATTCTTTCTTCCCGAGATTTATGTTGTGCCTCTATTGATTATCTATCTATCCTCCCTGTCTTGGAAATCTGCAACTTGTTCCAGTAGCCCGTGAAACTTGAGTTAATTGTTGATCTGTGAATTCCGATACAATCACACTGTTGTACGGTACCATCCCGTCACCTACGGCGTCTATCCATACTGGACTCGCCCACCCGAGATTGGGTTCTTTCTAGTCGTCCTATCAGAGGCATTCCTTCGAGCAGACCACGAGGACCTGGCCCACTGTGAGCGATCCCATTGCATGTTGCGCGTTGTGCTATCCCCGCTGCCCGTCCATGCAGGGCCATCAGAAGATCGAATGAGCTCGTAATACATCCGAGGGCGCTTATTCAAAACCTAAACCTTCCTTCCGTCCCCAAGCTCGAAGATTCCTTTTCTTCGATAGCTGGCCTCCATACACTTTTCTTTCTCCCAATTGCTTCATCCCTATCCCGGACCGAAGACTAATACACTTGGTTCGTGAAGCAATTCTTATCATATAGGCGGCCGACTCGCAGGGACGAGCGACTGCTCTTTTTATCTACAATATACTATACTATACATAAATCAAAATGGCACAACAAGATGAGAAGAGGCGACCTTCCGCCCTCAAATTGACACCGTCAAGGTCATCCTCAACAGATGGATCATATACTACTACATCCTCACTAAAGCCGCCAAGGACTCCAAGGTTCGCAGAAGCTACCACAGTACATTCTCCCATCGAGCCACAGACGAGCAACCCATTCACCAGTCAGGATGATACGCCAGAAATCACGCAAGCTCAGCCAGCCGATGTAGGCTTTGGATATATCAACGATGATACTCGCACACAGACAGTCAATGTGCCTATGACGCCGAAAACACCATTGAAGAGTGCCATGAAAGTGCCCGGCACACCCGGAAGGGGACTAGAAAACCCTTTAAGCCCAACGTTCAGAGAAGAGGATATTCTTGAAGCTAGAGAAAAAGACACTGAAGCGGCACAAAAGAGAGATTATGTGAGTCTCAATAAACAAGGCAGGGCTGCTTCGTTTTACTAACTATTCGACAGGGCCTCAAGTACAGGGTTAGAATGGCTAAATTTGCTCTTCGTGGTATCAGCTTCAGCTGCAGCTTAATCATCGTGTCCCTAGTTGCGGTCTCTTTCAACGTCTTTCGAACAACAAACCATCTTGCAGCCCAAAGTGGCCTGCCGCCATGGGCAGAAGGCACGCAGTTGTGGCCCCAGATAGTGGTCCTTGCAGTCTCCGGGGTCAACCTTTTGCTCTGTGTTCTCATCTTCATTGGTTACCTGAGAGGAGGCCATCGCAGAGCTGAGAAAGTCGGCGTTTATTACACACTATTCGCAGTTGGCTGGTTCATTGCCTCATCGATTCTGTGGGCTGCCGCTGCCGGCATCCTCCAGTTCACCCGCAACAACAGCGGTAACAAGGATCTATGGGGATGGTCTTGTGTTGATAACAAGAGAGCTCAGGTCTTCTCGGAGAAGGTTGACTACGCTCTTGTCTGCCGACTTCAGGTAAGTTCTACATATTCTTTCCGCACTCAGCTACGAGTCTCGATTACAGTTACTTATCGATTTATTTCAAAATAGAATTGGTCTCTGATCTGCGCCCTTATCGAAATCGTCCTCGATGTGTTTACGATCACGCTCTACAGCATCGTCTTCTACCGATACATCACGAAGCGCAAGCTAACCAAGTCGATGGACATGCGCGACCGCGCCCGCTCGGACTTGTATTTGGCGCAGCTACGCTCGCAATCGGCGCCAAACACACCCGGCTTCGGCCCCAAGTCACCCACCTTCTCGCAGTACGCAATGTCACCGCGATTCCCCCCCTCAACCTACAACTCGCTCTCCGAGATGTCCAAGGCGCCGAACTTCACTCCCGGTGCTCAGGTCGTTGAGCCAACGTCCACCTTCGCGACTCAGCCCCCGGCCTCCAAGCCAGCCGAGAAGCCCTTCAAGTTGCAGGCCCCACCTAGTAAGGCACGCTCAGCCACTCCCAAAGTTGCGCAGGGTGCTTTCAACTCCCCAACGACTAGCTCTCCCCCTGAAAATAACTTCACCGTAGTAGCGCCTGGTGAGCAGCAGTACGACGCTGTGCCAATACCTGGCGCGTACGCAGATGCTACCGTCAAAAGCCCACCTCCCGCACAAACAAGTTTTGGATACC